GAATTGAGCACCCAAGTTGCTTTTCCACACTCGAATCCAGACTTAGCCAAATTCTCGCAGTTTCCAGCTTTAGAGGTGGCACCTTTAGACGTCTGGGAAACAACCTTCTGGACTTCCTCTCGAGTTCCAGGGCATACCAATGGATAGATCATAGATAAACATCTCATCTTCAAAAAAGGCCACCCAACTTGCATTTTCAGTGTGCCATTCGAGACAACCAAGACTCCAAAGTAGGCTACTTGACACTGTCCCAACACTTAGCCAAAATTCAGAACTCTATATGTAAGTTAAGATAGCTTCCTTATCAAGTAATTGTGATGTGTAGAGTGATGCAATTGGGATCATATCAGGCCCTTCCTCTTCAAAAAGCTTTGCCCTCAATGCTTATCTTGACGTGCAACGAAAATTGTCAATGAAGGCCCCGAACATGTCTATCCACACTTCAAAACCTTGTCAACTCCTGAAGTGGCTGCTGTGTGCCACGATTCGAGGTCCAATACATTGGTGGGACTCCAAAGGACCTTTCCCACGCAAACAAACAACTTCGTAGAACCCAGTTTTGGCCACGCAAAATTTCCAGTTTCTGACGTTGGCGAGCACTCCGGCGAGGGCACCAAATTTAGGGTTTCTCTCTCGACCCCGCCTTGTCCCAATCCACTGCCCTGAATCGGCGTAGAAGGTTCCTGGAACTCGATTCTGTCCATACCCATCCTTCAAATCTGGCTAAATCGTGGCCAATCGCGATTTCCAATTTTCCCGCCATCGAAAAGTTTGAATTTCTCAGATTCCGATGTAGCAAACCCTGAAACCGGCGAAGTGATTTCACAATTGGGCATTTCTGATTTCGGGTTTTCCCAGGAAAATTGATCGTGCCTACAACTTCCTTGGACCTTCCCGAGCATGCCCATGATCTCCTTTACACACAACTCACGCTCAATCCCTCCGACCAATTCACCCTTCTCGGCCGCGTTGTTCTTCGTATTTTGGCCCAAAATTTGCGAATTGGGGCTTTTTGATTCGACGTTAGTTGACTCCAATTGAACATTGCTACACGTTCATGGACCAAGATCGATCATGCATGCATTGTTGGCTTCATCCAAATTGCTCACCACCGTTCTGACCAATTCACCCACTTTCCTCCCCTGTTTCGTCAACACCACAGGGTAGATTGGCTCCAACTTGATCCATCGAGGCGTCATAGGCCTTTGTAATGCGGTGAGCATGAACCCCATACGAATCATACACGTTCTATGCCTTGATGTCCCTGATTCTCAACTTTTGCGAGCCCTCAAGGCAACCATCTTCTATTGATCGGATCGCACTTCTGATGGGGACAATGGTTTGAGCAGAACGTGTTTCTCGTCATGCTTGAACTTATAGCGGTTGGAACCACCATCATGGGTCACAGCTCGATCATATTGCCACTATCTGCCGAGCAAGAGATGGATGGGCGGCTTGCATCGGTGCTACATCGCACAAGAGCTCGTCCTCGTACGAGCCAATTTTGAAGTTAACGCGAGCTCGTCTTGTAACCTTAATCACACCATAATCATTGAGCCAATGGAGGCTGTAGGGATCAGGATGTTTAATTGTCTTCAGCCCAAGTTTCTTGACAACATCAATGTTGATTACATTTGTACAGCTTCCTCCATTGACGACCACCGATAAGCAGCTTCCATTGACGAGGCACCTCGTGTGAAAGAGGTTAGTTCGTTGGTCGTAACTTACCTCACCTTCCATCGTCACGGCTAGTAAATTCATTCTTGAAATAAAATGTTCAGACTCCGCCTCAATTTCTTCATTCATTTCCGCTTCAGAGGAATCTTTAACGCAATTGACCTCCCAGTTTCGTCATCTGAGATGTACTCTCCGTCTCGTACTATTAAGGTCTTGAGGTTAGGGCATTGGTTTGCCTTGTGGCCTCGACCATGACACTTAAAGAACTGAATCGAGCCACTGGAGGCCCCTGTGTGTTCTGATTTATCGTAGGAACTTTCCGCGGTGCAGGTTTGAGCATCTTTGGTTTGTGGGGAAGAGTGCAAGTCTCAGCTGCACTCTCAATAGCAGGTTTATGGCCTGGAAACCTCCTGCCCGAAGTCGCCTTTTGCTGCTTCTCAATTTATACAGGCAAGTGCACAACCTCTTCTAAATCAAGAAAACGCCCTTAACTCCACCTCCTGACGAATTTCACGACCTAAGCCGTGGAGGAACCGAGCGATCATAGCTTCACTGTCCTCCCTAATGTAAGCTCGTAGTAACAACAAATCCAACTCACGAAAATACTCTTCAACGCTTCTCGACCCCTGTCTGATTCCTTGCAGTGACTCGTGAAGCTCACGAAGATAGTATGCAGGAACAAACTTCTCGCTCATAAGCCCTCGTAGGTGATCATAGCTATCATCAGTGGTTCATTGAATCAACCACATTGGAAGAAAAGGATGACCTTTTGCTCCCAATCGAGGTATGCAGAGGCACTTAGTGTCCCCCTGAAAATTCGGAATCATCAATTTGATCCCTTGAGGGATTCCTGGCTCTGCTTCTGGTCGTCCGTCACATTGTTAACGACGATCACGAACATGCCACTCATGATCGTCATCATCCACCACCAGCCTTTGTTCGAGCTCCTGGACTCTCTCCAATAGCTCCTGGTTAGCCTCATTGGGCTGCCATGCTCTGCCATGTTTCGTAGTAGAACATGAGTGTTGACTGTCGTGATCAACTCGGCCAATTGCTTCTGAATTTGGTCAAATTGCGCCTGAAACTTTGCCACCAAGGATTGTAGAAGCTCAGAATTGTTGAGGGCTTGGTCATCCATTGCTTGTCCTTCAACTTGAGTCGCCAATTCTGACTCACTTGTTTTCTTTGTTTCGGAACACCGAAAGACAGGATCACTGTCGACAGGGCCCTTTGACCTTGTCCAAGGGGTGGTTCTGGTCACGCCTTATGTGGTTCTAGTCCCTGCGTAGAACCAAGGATCTTATGCCACTTAATACGAGCATAGTTGTGCTTGTTTGAGATCAAAGCGCGCAGCACCAATTCCGGCGAAGAAAGAATTGAAAACTTGAACAAACTTAAAACGAAAACGACCCAAAGGTGCAACTTCTCACTTGGGAAGAGGCTCGATTGGTTTTAAGTCAAAGCTCGACCACGTTGATGTGGTTTCAATCGATACGAAGCAAACACGAAGTTGGAACACAACCAACAACGCAAGGTCTTGTGACAAGTCACGTTTTCATTAATAAACTCTGACGATTACAGTGCAAATTGCGGTTTAAATTGACCTAGGCTACGTATAACAACTAATAAGGAAGTTTAAACACAATCTAACTCTAAAAGGAATCAAAATCCAGAAAAGAAACATAATATGTGTCCAAAAAGGAAAGACAGAGTTGCCTTGGAAGGAAAGTAATTTTCGTGGCTTGAGGCCAACTTCAAAGCCCTCAATCAAGGCCTTCCAGTTCTTGATTCAGTCAACCAACCCTCATTTATGTAGTAGAAAATGCAAGCTTTCATGTGGAACAAACCTCGAAACTTGGTTCCAAGTCAATCGTCATGATTTGAGCACCCAAGTTGCCTTTCCACACTCGAATCCAGACAACCTAATTCTCGCAGTTTCTAGCTTTCCAGGTGGCATCTTTAGACGTCTGGGAAACGACCTTCTAGACTTTCTCTCCAGCTCCAGGGCATACGAATGGATAGATAAACATATCATCTTCAAAACAAGCCATCCAACTAGCATTTTCATTGAGCCATTTCGAGACAACCAAGTCTCCAAAGTAGGTTGCTTGACACTGTCCCAACACTTAGCCAAACTTCAGAACTCTTCATGTGAGTTAAGATAGCTTCCTTATCAAGTAATTGTGATGTGTAGAATAATCCAAGTAATCCGTGCAATCTTACGATTGCATCTTCTTTTACTACGCCGACCATAAGCCATACCAGAAGTTGTAATGATGATAAGTGGAAACACTTCAAGGTGAATAATTATTAAAGTTCTTATAAGTTGACCCTCTGTAACTATCTTAAGAATGACTCTTTTATTGTTTAGGGTTGCTTAGGTGCTCTAGACAGAACACATGTGAAGCTGCGTGTTAGGGTAGAAGATAAGCATATGTATTGGGATCATGAAGGTCCTATTTCCATGAATGTATTGGGGGTGTGCAACCCAAACCTCGAGTTCATATACTGTCTAGCTGGTTGGGAGGGTTCAACACATTATGGAAAAGTTCTTAGAGATGCATTGGCTAGGCCACATGGTCTACATGGTGAGAAAGGTAATATAAGCTTTTAGAAGTCCCTGGACATGCTGAAAATATATCCTCAAATCCACTAATTAGTCCTTACCCATCTGTTTTAGTCCTTACCTATCTGTTTTTTATTTAATAGGAAAGTACTACTTGGTGGATGCCGGGTATAACAATTGTGAAGGATTTTTAGCCCCTTACCGAGGACAAAGGTATCACTTGAAAGAATGGGGAGGAGGTAATAGGCCATTAACCGCCGAAGAGTACTTCAAATATGAAGCATGCCTCCGCAAGAAATGTGGTTGAAAAGATATTCGGTATTTTAAAAAATCGATGGGCAATTCTTCAAGTAACTAGTTGGTTCTCTCTTGAGGTTGTTACCCTATTAGTGAATGCATGTTGCTTGCTGCATAATTTCATCAAGATAGAGCATGGAGTTGACACATTTGAAATAGATTATAGGGACAAAGAATCTTATCAGCATCCTTCATCTATGGTGGAAGAAATTGATCTAGTGTCTGAAATTAGTCCTACACAACTATGGAGTCAGTTCAGGGATTCAAAATCAATTGACATGTGGGAGAACAGAAGTAGCAGAAACGTTTAGGACTTAAAAAATGTTGTATTAAGGCATCTATTTATAGGATGAACATGTATTTTGTTTGTATGAAGACTATTCATGTTGTATCCTAACTGAATGAAGGGAGCTGCTGTCAATGGATGTTATTTATAAATGATATCAAATGCTTGTATTCTAACTAAATGAAGGGTTTTGTTATTTATGTTAATCATGTTTTATTCTAACCGAATGAAGACTATTTATAAGTGGCTTATGTGATTGAATGGTTTATGTTAAAGATGTGGGTGCTACTGTGAATCGCTTCTTTGTTTGTAGGATCGCAAGAAAAAGAAAGCAAGTCATCAACGAAGGCGAAGTAGCTGAGCCTACTGCTAGTTACTTCTCGTGTGACGAGAAGCTCAATGCTCTGCTCATACAATGCATGGTGGAGTAAGCTCAGAGGCATCAGGTGGAGAACGGATCTTTCAAGAATGGGACTTTTTCTGAGCTTCAGTACATGATGGAGGAGAGGGCTCCTAGTTGCGGTGTCAGAGTTGAACCACACATTCGTAGTAGGCACAAGTTTCTCAAGAAGGACTTCCATGTTGTGCACTTGCTGCGTAATCAAAGCGGATGTGGTTGGGATGAAGTAACAAAGACACCTCCACTGGATGATGATGTCTTTGAGAATATTGTGAAGGTAATTTGTCACTTTAACCCAAATTGCATCAAATATCAATGACCATAATATTTTAACAGTCCTTACCCATCTGTTTGTAGGTTTTCCCAAACTGCAAAAAATTTAACAGGAAGCCTTTCCCATTTTATGATGAACTATTGAAAGTGTTTGGGAAAGTTGGTCCTGCAAATGGAAGGAAAACAGTGGGTTTAACTAATGATGTGAGCTCACCCGCCATAGATGGTCCGACATTCATTGATTTGGATGTAACTCAGACACCACAGGTTATAGAGGGACATAGTGCTGAGAGGTTTATGGAAGATTTGATCAACGAAGGGGTTGAGATGTCCCAGAGGGCAGCTGCTACTACTTCGACGCATAAAGCAGTTCCTCTAGAAACAGGGGCCTGTGACGACATTCGGAAGAGGGCAAAGAAAACAGAAAATTAGACGGATGATGCAATTGCAGCTGTAGCCGATGAACTCGATGTGTTGAAGCCTGTCATATCCAAAGCACTTGATACTCTTGGAACCATCTTAGAAGACCATGAAGAAGAGACTAGAAATGAAGCAGCATTGATGGCAGAGATAGGGAAAATTGAAGGTTTAGAATGCTGCCAAGTTCTCGATGCTGCTATGGTCTTGGTGGAGAATGATCATAAGACAAGGATTTTCTATGCATTGGACAATGAGGAGGATCAGAAGTACTTTATTCAGAATTTTTTGCGTTGAGAAGTTATGATCATGTAGTAGTTGTGTATGCAGGGCTGTGAATGGGACTGTAGAAGTTATGTATGTGACTATAGTGGTGTGCCTAGGTATGTAGGGATAATTTTGTTAGAACACATGTAGTATGGATGGGAAACTTACCTCTCTTATGCAAAGCTAACAGGTAGGAGTTAGTATGCATAGGTGATAGGAAGAGGTTGAGGTATTTTGCTTTTGAAAGTTCCCCATCCATTCAAACTATGTGTATGCAAACTGACTTTGTAGTATGACTCAGAATGCTTTGATAAATAATTCTACAGCTACTTATGCCGCATATGTTCTGGTTTATCTGATGTTTGTATTTGATGAATTGAACTGCAAGCTTCTCCTCTACTTATAATTACAAAAAGAATCAATCTTACAGAACCTTATCCTCTCCTTATACAACATGTCTTTGAGAAAGCAGCTCTTTCATTACTCCTTCATTTAATCAAAATACACTATTACAGCTTAGCAATAGTCTAGTTGTCATAACAACATTCTAAACAGAAAACAAGTAAACAATCTAACTAAAATTACAACACTAACTAGTCTGTTTCTTACACACGGTTTGGTGCTCAAAATTACAGCAATAAACAAGTCTAATGACTTCATCACACAAGTCTGCACAAAATTGCATCCGTCTATAAGAAGCCCCTTCATTTGAGCCTTAAACTCTCGGCCTCCAGGCGATCCAACCTCAGCTTAATCGACTGTATGGAATCAACTAATTTGTCATAGCCAACATCGCACTATCCTTGGAGACTCTGTCTAATTTAGCATGCAGATCTGCATTCTCAAGCTGCAAGTTGGCAACCATATCACCAAGTCGTTTCCTCTCCTTGTACAATGCAACTCTAATATCGTGCCATGACAAATAATCACAAGGTTCCTTCTCCTGTATCCACATGACATTGTTAATCGTTCCATCAGCCTCATTTTGGTATGGAAAGAATAATGAACAAATTTACCAAAACTCTAACCTTAGAGCCAAACAATGGACAACCAAAAAAATTTCGATTCGGGTTGCCATCAGTGTGTGAAATTCTTCGAGAAGCTCTTAGCCCACAACCGCATAATACCTCTTCATCCTCATAGTAAAATTGATCAATCCCTTTCAGCCCTTTTCCCTTTCCAGTCATGAGAGTTTGTCCCTTGATAATTGCTAAAAATTAAACACAAACGGGGAATGGGACTTCTGATAACGATGTAAATGCACATGTTTGCGCCCCTAGTTCTTATCCGTTTGAGGAGTATAGTCGTGTGTTTTGGCCTATTTTACGCCGGGTTGTGCTATTTTGTCATGTTTCAGGTCCCAGGTGTCAAAGGGAAGGCTAAGCGCGAGTTTCGGGGCATTCAGAAGTCATTTCGGTGAGCTGGAGCCAAAACACGGGCAAACCCAAGGCATTACACGGCAGTGTACCCCTGGCCGTGCTTTTTATGCCGAGAGCAAATTCGGTTTGGCAATTTCAGTTGCAAACACGGGCACCAAAGCACGGCCGTGTTCAGTCAAAGCACGGCCGTGTACATGGCGAAGCACGGCCGTGTTTCCACCAGCTGCTGGCCGTGTAATTAAGCCCTAGCCGAGGCACGGGCGGAGTCAGGCAAAGCACGGCCGTGCCCTCGACCGTGCTTTGGCCACTGATGCTTTTAAGTAGAGTTTCAGCCACAATTCAAGGGGGTTCGAGTTTTTGAGAGAGAGATCAGTTCCTAGAGAGAGAAAGTGACGAGCAAGAGTTCCCAAGTGCCCTAGATTGATCTTCAACACCATTGGAGGCCAGCTTGAGCTTGGAGAAGTGCCAATCAACGTCCAGAAGCAGGAATCCATCCTTCGCAGTATGAATTCTGTGTCTGATTCTGCTTTTGCTTTCTTCTCTATGGAGTAGTTCTCCCATTCATCTGGGTATGGAGAACCCTAGATTTATATGTTAGGCTTTGATTGTATGAACCCAAGTACTGATTCTATGATTGATTATATTCGATTGAGGTTTTAATGATTGAATGACTTGAATCCTGATCAAATTCCTGTTGTTTCTGCTTTAACCTAGAATGAGAATATCTGCCTAGGTTAATAGAGTATCCTTGATTGAAGGTAGGGAGTTGGTGACTTTAGTCGAGGAGCCAACTCACTATTCTGTACCGGATTTACTCCGGTAGTGGAGGTTTTGTTCTTAGGGCCTCAATCTGTCGACTCCGGTGGAGGTTAGTCGCCCGCTAGAGAGTCAGATTGGGAGGGTCTGAAGACCTTTAGTCGAGACTTCAGGCTGTTTGAGAACCTTCCGCAGTATAACTATCATAGAAACTGAACTTGGTAATTACAATCCGGCTTAACTGCAGTCTAGGGGGAACCATATCCGGGTGACCTCTTTAACCTGAATACAACAAGTTTACTTGCTTTGTTTGTTTGGTAGTTTAGACTTGCACTCCAGTTTTATTGCTAGATAACAAGAATTCACTGAGTAGTCATCAGATCTAGGACCCGGGTTGATAATTAAACCTAAACCCGCTATACTATGCTTTAGGAAGTGGTTACACTTGGCCAATTCCTGGAGTGACAGTAGAGTCGAGTCAAGTTTTTGGCGCCGTTGCCGGGGACGGCTAGGTTGTTGAAGAAAAGTGATTTCTGTTAATTTAGCTTTTCTTTTTGCTTTGTTTTCTTTGTCCCACTTGTGCCTTCACGGGTTTGTTGCTTGAGTGTGTGCAGGTAGTGCATGACCCGTAGCCAGTCGGGAGGTTTACTGCCGTTGAATCCAGAGATTGACCGCACCTGTCGCCAGCTCAGGAGACAACAGCGAGCTAGACTGGCTACGGAAGAGCGCATAGACGGCCACCTGAGCAGCGATTCTGAAGAAGAGCACGGGATGGACGGAGACTACAACCAACACTAGGGGAATCCACAGCAGGTTCCCCCGGTGAATCAGGTCCTGGGGAACAACCCCATACCCCAGGATCGTGGAGTTCATCATCCACCGCAGCCGGGTCCCACCTTGGAGTACTACTACACTCCTCGGATTGCTGACATCCGCCCGGTCATCCTCTACCCACCGATCCCAGCTAACAACTTCGAGATCAAGCCATGCTGGATTCAGCTCATCACATCCTCGATCCAGTTTCATGGTTTGAAGGATGAGGAGGCCAGGGTACATTTGTCCCGTTTTCTGCAGCTGACAAACGGGTTCAAGCTGAACGGTGTCCCGGATGATGCAATCCGCCTTCATCTCTTCCCCCATTCTCTGGCGGGGAATGCTAAGAGGTGGTTGGAGACCCAGCCCCCATTGTCCATCACCTCTTGGGACGATCTGGCTGACAAGTTCGTGCACCGGTACTATCCAGCATCGAAGACTACAGAGATTCAGCGGGAGATCACTCACTTCCGCCAGGAGCCAGATGAGTCACTTCGTGATGCTTGGGAGCGGTACATGGGCTATTTCTGGCAGTGCCCCCATCATGGCTTCAGCGATGCATTCACAGTGGGGAACTTCTACAGTGCCATTTCTCCAGATAGCCAGAGGGTGATTGAGTCTTTATGCCCAGGAGGGGATATTCTCACTAAGACTCCACCCGAGTTGAACCAGATGATCAGTACTTTGGCTGCCAGAGATCATTCTTGGGGACAGGGTAGCCGAGGCAGACAGTCCCGGGACCATGGTGTGCACGCCATGGAGACAAGATCCGGGCTCGAGCAGCAGGTAGCTGAGCTAGTGCAGACATTGAAGCAGCCCCACAGTCTTATTCCGGGCAGAGGTTTGGCTACACCTCCAGTAGCTCAATGTCAGTGGTGTGAGAGCTCCAATCACCTAGTGGAGGACTGCCAGGCTATGAGGGAGTCTACCACACCCCAGGAGCAGTTGGCCTTCATCGCCAATGCGAGGCGCCTCGATCCATACAGCAGCACATATAATGAGGGGTGGCGCCAGCATCCCAACTTCGCTTGGAGCAGCAACACCACTAAACCACCTGGTTTGCCAGCACCAGCAGGTGGTTTTCAGCAGAGGCAGCCCTTCCAGGCTCGCCAGGGGCCAGACCCACAGCAGCCCTACCAGCCTAGGCAGGGGCAGCCATTCCAGCAGCCCCAGCGCCAGTTTCCCGAGCCAGCAGCAGCTCCAGCCCCAGATGACAGGATGACGAAGCTGGAAAACATTATAGCTTCATTCATGACGAGCACTCAGGCGACTATCACGAGGTTGGACCAGAGTGTAGCCTCACTGGAGACAGGTCAGAGGAACCAGGGTGCCATTTTGCAGGATCTGCAGACCCAGGTGGGCATCTTGGCCCGCCAGACCACCACCAGGGCACCGGGGACTTTACCTGCCACCACTGTCCCAAATCCTCGAGACCCTCACCAGCATCAGCAGCTGGATGCCATTTTTACCAGGAGCGGTAAGACCATATCTGCTGATCCTGTCCCGGCCAGACAGGAGGTACCACTGACTGCTTCAGCACTTCCAGCCGACGATGCAGAAGTGCGGGTGGAGAAGGAAGCCCCTACTCCCAAGCCACAACCAGTGGTTAAGGAGCATGTACCCCAGCTTCCCTTCCCCACTCGCCTACACAAAGACAAGCTGGAGACTGAGTTTGCCAAGTTCATGGCAATGTTGAAGCAGCTCAACATCAGCATACCGTTCATGGAGGCACTGTCGAAGATGCCCAAGTATGCCAAGTTCATGAAAGATATCTGCACCAACAAGAAGAAACTTGGGGATCTCTCAACAGTGATGCTGAGCGAGGAGTGTTCTGCTATTCTGCAGAACAAGCTGCCCGAGAAGCGCAAGGATCCAGGGAGTTTTACTATCCCTCTTACTATTGGCAGCATGCATGTAGGCAAGTCCTTGGCGGA